GAATTTTTGTGTATCGCATATTGTTTAGTTCCTGTTTGATATTTTGTAAATAAAAATACCTAACTGCTAACAAAATAAAGGTAAGTAAGTAGGTAGGTACCCATGTATAAACATATCTCATAAACTATAGAAGTCAAGCTTCATGTTGTTATTTTCTACTGGAAAAAATATAAAATTTTGGGAAAATGAGCTTCTAACCTTCCTCACTAAATGCAGAAAGTTTCAAATTTTTCCCTATCTGTACTAGTTTTCCAGAAAAACTGTGGAATGTGTGAGACTTTATTCTCAATTAATTCAGTTATTGTTGTTAGTTCATTTTCAATATTTTGCATGTTGTAATTTTCCACTGGAAAAATTTGAAATTTTGGAAAAATGAGCTCCTAACTTTCCTCTTCACATGCAAAAAGTTCCAAAATTTTGCCTTTATTGGTTTTTTAGGATAATTTTGAAATGTGTGAGGAAGTATGTTCAAATAATTCAGTTATTTTAAGTTAATTATCAAAATTTCTCATGTCGTTATTTTCCACTGGAAAAATGAGCTCCTAACCTTCCTCTTTACATGTAAAAAGTTTCAAATTTTTCCCTTTATCAGTCTTCCGGAAAAACTTTGAAAATGTGTAAGACTGTATTTTTAATTAATTTATTTTTTGTAAGCTGATTTCCAAGATTCTTCATGTTGTTATTTTTCACTGGAAAATATTTGAAATTTTGGGCAAATGAACCTCTAACCTTCCTCTTTACATGCAAAGAGTTTCAAAATTTTCCCTTCACTAGTTTTCCAGGAAAACTTTGAAATGTGTGAGACTGTATTTTCAATTAATTCCCTTTTTCTAAGTTGATTTCCAAGATTTTTCATGTTGTTATTTTCCCCTGGAGAAATTTGAAATTTTGGGAAAATAACCTTCTAATCTTCCTCTTCACAGTACCGTGTAAAATGTAAGTAAATGATCATCTCTAAAAAACTACAGTGAATATTGCAGAGATGTTCGAAAATTTTGGGGAGAAATTAGGTAAAAATCTCTCAGAAATTTTGAAAATTAACAATTTTTGTTTTAGAAATGTCAGAAATTTCATAGGAAACTAGTAATTATTTGGGGAATTCTGGAAATTATTCAGGAAGTTTCATAATTATATTTTAAAAATTATAGAAAATACTTATAAAAATTCTAAATATTCAGGAAATTTCGGAAATTATGGACAATATCAGAAAAACATTTCCAAAAAGGAAATACGTGTACAAAATTTAACAGCGTGAGACACCCCTCGACTGTACTTATGCAAGTGTTCCTAAACTGAATGACTCAGGTCTTAAAAAATATCATTAGTGCAGATTGTAGTCTGTCTATCAAGCTAAAAGTACGGTTTGTTAGGATAGTACGCGACGCACAACTGACCAGGGCCGGTATTCTCGTTCTCGAAAACGCTCACCGCTTTTCAGTCGCTCGGCACTTTCAATGTAAATTTGCATTTAAAGTGCCGAGCGACTAGAAAGCGGCGAGCGTCTTTGAGAACCAGGGCCGGTATTCTCGTTCTCGAAAACGCTCACCGCTTTTCAATCGCTCGGCACTTTCAATGTAAATTTGCATTTAAAGTGCCGAGCGACTAGAAAGCGGTGAGCGTTTTTGATAACCAGAATACCAGTCCAGAATACCGGCCCAGCAACTGTCAACATGCCGTACACCAAACGTATACCCGTTTTTTGACGTCAGAAAACGGGTATACGTCATACCTGAACCAATGACGACGTTTACGTTGTCAGTTGTGCGTTGGTACTATTTGGTACTATCCTAACAAACCGTATTTACCTAGGGCCATATTCTTCGTAGTTCATAAAATCTGACTTATAGTCCTTGGGCCCAGATCTAAATTTATTATTTATGACCACACCGTCGAAACTTTTTGTATTTGCTATTTGGGTGGAGTCGGACAAATTTTGAGCTCGGCGCATTATGGTAGTGGGGCGTTTGTCTGTCAAGCTGTCACGAAGTTGTCGATTTTATGCAAGAAAAAAATTTATGACCACATTGGTAATTTTATTTTAATCAATAGTTTTTATCACATAAACAACGAAAAAAAATGTGTCGGACAAAAATATTGGGGCATTCGACGTGTCGGACACGTTGAATATGTCAAATTTATGTGAAAAAAAAATTTATTACCACACGGCTGATTTGAACAGAATCTGCCATAAAAATATTTTACAATAACGTGGTAACCTTGTCGGACAATTTTCACGGGGCATATGCGCAGTCGGATGCGCCAAAGATGTCAATTTCCTGCAACAATTTTATTTACAACCATTTTTCCGACAAAAATAGGAGGCTCTAAGTAATTATATTCTAAATCAAAAAGTCTAAGTGTCGGACAAAAATATTGGGGCATATCGACAGTCGGACAAAAAATGTAATTTTTATTGGTAATCGATATTTCTTAACTATACTGGGTTCAGGTATCCCTTTTTTTACAAATATTTTTCCGACAAAAGTAGAAGGTTACCAGTAATTATATTCTTAAATAAAAAATGTAATTGTCTGACAAAAATGTTGGGGCAAACATACAAGAAATTTAATTCTTATAGGTTATCGACGTTCTTAAATTATAAGGATGAGTTAATGCTTATATTACTTTTATATAAACACTAGCTGAACCGGTGAACTTCGTACCGCCTATGAATTATTAAATACCTATTAAATGTTGTGTTAACGTATCTAGTAGATGAATTAAATTCAGTTTTTTTCAATGGTGAATTTGGCCTTCGTTGAAGAAAACTAATGTTTACTCTCTGGATCAGAAATCACCTAAAATTAGAATTTTACATCATTTGGCTATTGATTTCTAATAGGGTGCCTCGCTTGGATCATAATCGCTCTCAGAGCACTTCCGCAGAGATCTGAGACGTCACCGCCCAAATAGAGAGCGCTCTGGGAGCAGTAAAGCCGAAAATGCTATAAGATAATACTGTTACGTCGGTTGAATGGAATAAACAAAAATAAGTTAAGTTATGTAGTGGTGAGAAGCAAGAAAAAATTTAAAAATTTTGGGGTGGACCACCCTTATCACTTAGGGGTATAAAAAATAGCTTAAAACCTATTCTCAGACCTACCGAATATACATATAAAATTTCATAAAAATCGGTAAAGCCGTTTCGGAGGACGAAGGTAACTAAAACTGTGACATGAGAATTTTATATATTAGATATAAGTACCTACATACAGTGAGCACGTAAAGTTTGGAATTAAAATCTTTAAAATATACAGGGTGGATATTTTGCAAAAAACTTCGGACACGTCAATTTTTGATTTTAGTGGCCGTTTTTTTGATGATAATACCATGTATAAAGGGTGACTCAAAAACAAGTTATGACAGCTAACTTTATTTATTTTAATGGAAACACCAATTTTTTATTTCATTTTTAAATTCTACGTTAAATGCTGAACCTATTTCATGTATCATGTGTTATACCTATCTTCAACTGTTTCGGAAATATTGACAGTTGAAAATTGACTTTTTTGCAACTTTGACAGGCTGTAGAACCTAAACGGTTAATTTTAGAGCAAAACCGATCATACATTCTTGTCTTAGTTTTCTATAAACTATCATTTTGATACATCGGTTTTGCTCTAAAATTAACCATTTAGGCGGCGTTCCGTATCTTAACCAGAGCTACCGATCGGTATATAGCAGTTCGTCTATGGTGACAGTCTGGTTCCTGAAAATGCGGTTTATGTGCGGAACGCTTCGGTTCAGCTTAGGTTTACCTTGGATGCTAGATAGTAGAATATTATCCTCTTAAAAATATATTTGTAATAAGAAATCAACATGAATGCATGTAATATTCAACTCTTGTTACATTTTCACCGCAAATGCACTTCGAAAGCGGAAGAAACATAAAAAAGTTGAAAAATCATCACCTAACCTAACAAACAAAATGTCAGAAATTGAAAACAAACCGAAACAACCAAAGCTTTTTGATCGGTAGATTCGGTGACAGTTGGGACCGAATTTTTCAGGAACCGCGTTTCATAACCTAACCAGATTTCAGGAGTGGTTGGGTTATGGAACGGAAACCGGAAAAACCAAGAATCTTGGTTAACTTACGGAACGTCGTCTTAGATTCTACAGCCTGTCAAAGTTGCAAAAAAGTCAATTTTCAACTGTCAATATTTCCGAAACAGTTGAAGATAGGTATAGGACATGATGTCAGCGTTGGACTTATATTATTAATTTTCACCGTTTGTTATTAGTTTTCATTAAAAAAAATGTATTAAAAATTTAAAGTAATGTAAAATGTAATGTAAGGAATGTAAAATCGGTTTTCCTCTAAAATTAATTTAGGTTTTACAGTCTGTTAAAGATGCAAAAAAGTCAATTTTAAACTGTCAATACTTCCGAAACAGCTGAAGATAAGTATATGACATTGTTCATGAAATATGTCTAGAATTTTCCGCAGAATCCAGAAGTGTCATAATATACACGGCTAGTCATTTAAAAAAATTATAGCCTTGTGTCACCACTACTTATTGGGCCACCCTGTATACTGGAAAATAATTGAGGAATGTAGCACTCATGTTTATCTACAAGTTTTGTATTTACTTTTTTCTTCGATCTCTGTTAGTATAAGAGATAGGGCCAAGGAGGGAGTCATGGGGGGGAGTCATGTCTAATAAATTTCAATGCCCAATAGAGTTCAAGGGGGGGTCAAGCCTAATAAACGCAATGTCGATAGACACAAAATCTCAACATAAAAAAAAAATTGAAATTTCATCATTTTAGTATTAAGTCATCATAAGAAACTTTGAAACATCATAACTTTTTTTCTATTGAAGAAGAAAGCTGTAATTTCCAGCAATTCTTATCCTAACAGAGTATTACAATCCCTGAAAATTTCAGCTCATTCGGCCTTAGGTATAGTTTCTGAAATAAATCTACAATTTACAACCAGTCGCTCATCATCTGTCAACTTCACTTTACCATCAAACCAAAATGATTATTAATTATTCGAATCATCAGTAATTTTATTTCACAAAATTGTCTGTCATCGCATCAATCAATCATGGACAATCCGGATTGTCCGAAACTACCATGGATGGTAGATTTTTTCAGTTCGGACGAAGCCGAAGTCCTGAACCATCAGCTAGAAGCGGCTTTTGCCCAAACTACTCTGGCTCATCTCAGCAATTTAAACATAAAATCTAAAGCGCCAGTGTTCAAATCGACTCAGCTTGTGTGTACCGTGCCAGTTAATGCTACTTGTAATACCATAGAAGAACTGATGCAAATGGGTATGTCTGTGGCTCGGATTTCTGTTCCAGGTAATCATAAAGAGAAAATTTTGGAGCTTATTGCTAAAATACGGGCTTTGGTAGACTCTTATAGTAGAAAAATTGGCAAAGTGTATCCGCTTGCATTTGCTGTTGACATAAAAGGGCCCGAAATTCATACTGGAATAATAGAAAAAAATAAAGCTTCAATATTTTTGGAAAAAGGTAAACGGACTACGTTGACTGTTGATGAAGCTTATGAAGAATTTGTTAATGAAGATATGATTTTTGTTGATTATTCGAAGTTGCCTGAAATAATTCAACCTGGTGATAAATTGCTTATAGACTATGGAACGTGCCATTTATCCGCCATTGAAGTAGCTGAAAGCATTGTTAGATGTATTGTAGACAAGGCTGGAAAACTAATAAGCCACTCTTCAATTATAATTCCTAATGCTCCAATGGATCTTGCAGAAATATCTAGAGAAGATAAAGAAATTTTAGAAATTTGTATCAATTTACATATCGATTTTATAATGCTTTCAGGCATTTATAATAAGGAAAAAGTTATTGATATTAGAAAACTTGTTGGCGAAAAACTTCAAATCATTGCAAACATTGACAATTCAATGGCAATAGATAATATACATGAAATCATCGAAAATTCCGATGCCATTTTCATTGACTCTGATAGACTTTTGTTCGATATACCCAAACAAAAAGTATTTCTAGTGCAAAAATCCATCATAGCAAAATGCAACCTTCAAGGGATTCCAGTTATTTGCGCTACAAATATTATTGACGTAATTTCGTTAAACAAAAGTGAAGTTTGCGATATTGCTAATTCAATCATGGATGGTACTGATGCCTTATTAATCAATCAGTCAGCGTGCACCAAGGAAGTTGTTAAAGAAGTTACAATTGTATGTAAAGAAGCTGAGCCAGCAGTTTATCAAAAACAAATTTTTAATGAGTTAGTCTACAACATTTCCAGTCCAAATGAATCAATTTATTCCCTATGCATAGCAGCTGTGGAAGCTTCCTTCAAAACAAGCTCAGCAGCAATAATTTGCCTTACAACTTCAGGAAGAACTGCCAAGTTATTATCTAGATTCAGACCTAGATGTCCTTTGATTACCATTACCAGATATCCACGTGTTGCCAGATTGCTACGTCTTTACAAAGGAGTCGATCCGATTATTTATTTGAAAGCTTTCGCTGGCAATTATGAAAGAGATGTCGAGGAACGTGTGCAATTGGGTATTACCTATGGCAAACATATGGGGTATATAAAAATGGGTGATGCTTTGGTTACTGTTACTGGGTCGAGACCTGAATCCGGATTTCCAAATAATATGAAGATTTTGTATGCGTCTGATTATGATACTGTTTTGAGTAAAATTAAATATACTTGATGATTGTGAATAAAGAATGCAATAGGCTTGATTGTTATACTTTAGTGAAAACTATAAATCAGTATAAGTTGACAGGCACTTTTCTAATGTGGCCAACTGATTCGTGCTCACGCATAATTTAATATGACATTTTACGAAAAATCTTTAACAGATTTAGAAGGTTTTATATATAAAAACAAGTGGTCAAAACTACCATTGCGGAAAAAGAATCCCACGCTTTTTTTGAATGAGAATAAAAAGCTTTACAAACCACACAAGCCCACTGTGTATGCACAACTGGGAATCTTATAAATAAATCAAAATCTGCTATCAGCATAATGTAACCCTTGGCCATTACGTGGGTAAAGGAAGAAAAAAAAAATTGCACTTGAAAAACGATGCATTTTGCATGGGGATCCATTTACCCTCTGAAAACAGGAGGCTATATTAATTTTGTATTAGGTTTACCTACTCAAAGAATTTTGAAATAATTATACAAAAATGAATGGTAACTAAGAGTGACTTCAGTTACTTTTGGAACTTTATTTTCATGAAATACCATAAAATATCATAAAGTCGATGAATGAAGAGATGACCAGGCTATAAATTGGATCGTAGGTACAGTTTTTGAATAATCATACAGTTTCCTATGTAGGAGCTACAGTTTTTTGAATAATCATACAATTTGCGTTAAGGAAATTCGCGGGTAATGGGCAGGAATTTTCCTGTGCCTTTTTCCATAAAATCCGGTTCCAAATCTCGGAATAAAAAAAAATTGAAATTTCATCGTTTTAGTAAGAAGGTAGCTACCTTATGATTTAAATTTTGGAAAACTTTGAAATTTCAGCTCATTTGCACTTATAGTTCCTGAGATAAAATCGTGTTAAGCAATTTGGGGTGATTTATCAATTTTTCAATTTTTCTGAGTGCCTTTTTTCATAGATTTCGGCTTCAAATCTGAGAATAATTTAGTGTATGGGGTTTGGGGTATGTTGATTGACCATTAGGATACAAAATCTCGACAAAAAAAAAAATTGAAATTTCATCGTTATAGTAAGAAGGTACCTACCTTATGATTTAGATTAAGGAAAACTTTGAAAGGTCATAATTTTTTTTCTATTATAGATAGAAAGCTGAAACTTTCACTGAATTTTATCCTTTCCAAAGGACTATAATCTCTGAAAATTTTAGCTCATTGGCACTTATAGTTCCTGAGATAAAATCGTGTTAAGCAATTTGGGGTGATTAATCAATTTTTCAATTTTTCTGAGTGCCTTTTTTCATAGATTTCGGCTTCAAATCTGAGAATAATTTAGTGTAGGGAGTTTGGGGTATGTTGATTGACCATTAGGATACAAAATCTCGACAAAAAAAAATTTGAAATTTCATCGTTATAGTAAGAAGGTACCTACCTTATGATTTAGATTTTGGAAAACTTTGATAGGTCATAATTTTTTTTCTATTATAGATAGAAAGCTGAAACTTTCACTGAATTTCATCCTTTTTAAAGGACTATAATCCCTGAAAATTTTAGCTCATTGGCACTTATAGTTCCTGAGATAAAATCGTGTTAAGCAATTTGGGGTGATTAATCAATTTTTCAATTTTTCTGAGTGCCTTTTTTCATAGATTTCGGCTTCAAATCTGAGAATAATTTAGTCTATGGAGTTTGGGGTATGTTGATTGATCATTGGGATACAAAATCTCGGCAAAGAAAATTTTGCATTTTCATCATTTTAGTAAGAAGGTACCTACCTTATGATATAGATTTTGGAAAACTTTGAAAGGTCATAATTTTTTTTCTATTATAGATAGAAAGCTGAAACTTTCACTGAATTTCATCCTTTTTAAAGGACTATAATCCCTGAAAATTTTAGCTCATTGGCACTTATAGTTCCTGAGATAAAATCGTGTTAAGCAATTTGGGGTGATTTATCAATTTTTCAATTTTTCTGAGTGCCTTTTTTCATAGATTTCGGCTTCAAATCTGAGAATAATTTAGTGTATGGGGTTTGGGGTATGTTGATTGACCATTAGGATACAAAATCTCGGCAAAGAAAATTTTGAAATTTCATCATTTTAGTAAGAAGGTACCTACCTTATGATTTAGATTAAGGAAAACTTTGAAAGGTCATAATTTTTTTTCTATTATAGATAGAAAGCTGAAACTTTCACTGAATTTCATCCTTTTTAAAGGACTACAATCCCTGAAAATTTCAGCTCATTGGCACTTATAGTTCCTGAGATAAAATCGTGTTAAGCAATTTGGGGTGATTTATCAATTTTTCAATTTTTCTGAGTGCCTTTTTTCATAGATTTCGGCTTCAAATCTGAGAATAATTTAGTGAATGGAGTTTGGGGTATGTTGATTGACCATTAGGATACAAAATCTCGGCAAAAAAATTTTTGAAATTTCATCGTTATAGTAAGATTTAGTATTTGGAAAACTTTGAAAGGTCATAACTTTTTTTCTATTAGAGATAGAAAACTGAAATTTTCAGCGATTCTCATCCCAGTAGAGGACTACAATCTGGTAAATTTATAAGGAAAAAAATAGACTTTGACAACATTTTTTGTCCTTGTTCGATGACGTTATTCTAAATTAGTAATGAGCGATACCGTGATTCTCAAATCACACTCTCAACTGATACCGTGATTTTTAAATATCAGTGATTTTAAAGCGTGACTGAATCACGCCTTTCAATATAATATTTTCGAACAACTGAAACTGATGCAGAAATATGCTATTTTCTAATAGCGGTCGACGTCGAGATATTTGGCAGCTAAAATCTACCAAATATCGCGTCGGCAAATGACAACTATGGAATTTGGAATTTGAGGAAATTGTAATAACAAAAACAAAAAATTACTCTTGATTATCGTGATCACGTCACGCTTTTTAGTGAACTTTGGTAGCAGTCGTGATCCGTGATTTTTAGATATCAGTGATTAAATCACAGTTCGTGATATATCGCTCATCACTCTTCTAAATGTAACATAAAAAACCTATATCGAAATCATTTTACACAAGTTGGCAAATGGCAAATTTTGATACCATTTAGGTAGCAGTTAGCAATTCAATAAGAAGATGGCAGATTTTTTTTAAAGATAACAATTTAGAAATTTGAGTTTCGTCTTGAAGTTGTGTTTCACGAGATTGTTACTTTATGGTTGATTTTACAGTAGGGATATCATTACTTGAAAAGGAAAATCATTTCATTTAGGAAAGTAATGATGAGTGTCTGAAATATCAAAATGTATTTAGTTTTATCTCCAACAACTCAAATATCATCAAATAATTCTTGATATTTTTGACGTTACTCCTCTTGTAAACTGAACACACTTTGAGACACTCAACGCATAATAAGGGCGTATTGTTAATCAAATCATTTTATCCCATGTTAAGGGTTATGTAGGGGAAACAATGCCGCTAGGGGGTAGATGAACCATAAAAGGGATCTGGCAAAATAAAACTACTTTGTCTCATTAATAAATTTCACTATTTATCTGTTTAATCGCTTTACATCGAATAGTGTTAATATTGTACAAAAATATCTAAATATCTATAAATACAGTTCATAGCTGCTATCACAAGTTCCAGTACAAAGTAGACTTTGAAAATCACTAACGTATTGATAATTTAATATACACATAATATACACATTATATACACTATAACAAAGGAAATAAATAAAATTTTAGTAAACAACAACAAAAATTGCAAAATGACCCTATTAATAAGGTCTCCAAACCGATTTTGTATTATTAACTGGCGGCGATAGAATTCTAGTCCTATTGGGACTATCATCTGTTGACAAAATCTTAAGGCTTTTTGCACTAGGGGCCTTGAGTTCCGATTTAACTTTAACCAAAGGCTCTTTGTCTTGCACTGTCGAATCAGGATCTTGACTTTCTTGCAACAGCAAACTGGCAGGCTTGATAGGCACAAAAGCTGACTTTACAACATCAATATCTTCCTCGTCCGATTGATCAGTAGACGATTGATCAACTGTTGAATGAACAGGCTGTTGCGACATCGTCATAGACAACTGATCCATCGGAGATATTTTCGACATATCGGCTGTAGGATTGGGCGGCAGGAAATTGGGCTGAGGAAACGCAGCTGGAGCATGGGGCATATAGAATTCCGGACCTGTAACAATTAAAATAAATAGTAATTAAAACGAGTGAAAGAGTGAGCGCCATTGGCCATATGTGAACCCGAAATTAAATATTCTTTTGAACTCGGGGCAGAGGGGTTTTAATCAAACGTGGAGGGCTTTTGATTTAAAAGCTGTATTTGAAATGAATAGATTGAAGAGAGAAAGGAGAGATGAATGAATTGGTCGCCAGGAAACTAAAAATGTAAAAAAAAGTGTTTGGATATTAGCTCCAACATTGGCGTAGAATTTATTTTAATTTTTGATATTAAATAAATTTTAGTTTATTTTTCTTTGTTTTTGATTGTTGATGGTAATTAGAGGAAATTATTCAGTTTGAAGGAAAAATTACATATAAACTGTTATTGGGTTTTCATTACATTGCACAGGACGCGAATTCTGTGTTCTGTCGCTTTCTACATGTCAAATTCTAGTGTCGATTTCTACATTTAATATAAGGGAAAATCGTGTAGAAAACGGAACATGGAATACGGAATAATCGAACGCGACATATCGCTATAGAATTCGACAGTGTACGGAATCCGCGTAGTTTATAAATTTGATGTCCACATTATTATGATTTATACAGGGTGATCCATTTAATTTGAGACAGGTTAGCAAAGTCAAAAATCGTACTACCATTTTCTTTTCCCCATGAGACCATATAATTCTTATTGAACTGCATCAAGTTAAATGGACCACCCTGTATACATAATATCATAAATAATATTCTCTTCACGTGCTTTGAATGTTCCTTTATACAGGGTGTTACAAATTCGTGAGTAAATGATAATATGAGACTCTCGATAACCATAATGAATACAGGGTTGGTAAAATTGGACCAAAGTAACACAATTTCTTGCTCAATGCAAAAAATGCTGGTGTAAACCGCGTCATTTAAATTGAGTTGATACAGAGTCACCGGCGTATACAAGGGGGGGGGGGTAATGGGGGCAATTACCCCCCCTCCCCCCCAAGATCGTTGCGATGGACGAAAAATATATACCCTACACTTTACAAATAAATCTATTTTTTATATTTTTATATGTTATACACTCTTCCTGTTCAGGGGTATGTTTGAAAATCACGGCGGCCTTTTCGATTTCAATTTCGCTCATGCTATAGGGCCGGTTTCTCAATAGCAAGTCACCTCCGGGTTAAGCATAACTCCAGGGTAAACATTGCAACTAGACACGTTTAACGGAGTTAAAACCAACCCGGAGGTGACTCGCTATTGAGAAACCGGCCCATGACTGCGATCTAAAGGCTGACGCTGGATACCCTTATTGTTTCTCTACAGACTTGTTTTCTAGTTTGCACAATGTCCGCACTACCCGCATGCCATTGATAGCGAATTCTATTGAAAGGGATAGTATGCGCACTGAGTGTATTCGTGTCTTTTTCTACTAGTTTGAATAAGAAAGAGATAAAAATACATTTTTTGCACTGATTCTACCTATAGAATCCGCTATAATTTGAAAGTTTTTGGAGAAACCCAGAGTTCGGTTTCGTTATTTGTTGGTAGTGCAGGAAAATTATTTTAAAGGTTCAAAATAAACGTTTTTGGGCGTGGCACCCGGTAAAAAGTTTTCGTCTCCGTCTGCGGCGGGCCGGCTTGAACTGATTACCCCCCCCCCCCCCCCCAGACGCATGGGTTGGATACGCCGGTGTACAGAGTGCCATTTATGATCAATCTAGTTAACTGAGATTGTATTGGCTAACTTTGGGAGCGTGCCCGTAGGTCCGGGGTCTTTTTAAATAACGAGCCCGTAGGGCGAGTTTTTTCAATCGCGAGCCCGTAGGGCGAGGGTTTTTCTAATTACGAGCCCATAGGGCCGGGGTCTTTTTAAATCACGAGCCTGTAGGGCATGGCTTTACTAATTACGTTACGTTTTTCTAAGGCCACGTACGGCCGGAGTTTTCTCAAATTGCGAGCCCGTAGGGCCGGGGTTTTTTTGTTAAATTAAGAGCCCGTAGGGCCGGGGTTTTTTTAAAATCATAAGCCCGCAGGGTAGGGTTTCCATACGTCCGGATTTAAGGCCGGGACACATATATCATGCATTATTCCGATCCGAATCCGATCATACAATCCGGGTCCTTATTCTTAGAACAGGGAGCAGCGTTCCCAGGAGAATATGTGTTCCGTCTTTCTCAATGATATGCAATTGATAATATGAGTAACGAAGACGGAACACTCGTTTTCCTGGGAACGCTGCTCCCCCGCCTGTTCCAAGAATAAGGACCTGATTGCATAATCGGAGTTGGATCGAAAGAGTGCAATGTGCATGAGATGTGTCCTGGACTTTACCCGGATATGTTTGGGATTCTAGGGTGTTCGGGGGGCTGGAATTCGGAACAATGTTTGGAAAACTCGGAGATCGTGAAACATTCATACTCACTCAGTTTACGCACTATTCAGAAGACGTAAAATTTTACTTCACACATTAATAGGTACGTAAAGTAGGTAATTCACTTTACACACTAGTGCATGAAGTAATGTCAATGACTGATGTCGACACTGTCATTTTTTCTCGTAAATTACTTCACGCACTAGTGCGTAAAGTATTTGTCTGAATTTATTTTTTCATACATATTTTATTAGTAATATAATTTTTTTTTGTATATGCAATACGTGTGTAAAATGAACCTTTTTTCCCGAATGTGAATTTTGTCGCACTCGCCTTTCACTTTACACACTTGTTGCATGAATAGCTATTTCGGCGAAATCTGGATTTTGTCTTTATAGAAACCTCACCGTAGGGCGAAGGTTTTCGTATGGTAATACGCACGAATGTTTATTAAACTTTCGCTCTACGAATTCGTCATTTAGAGAAACTCCGGCCTTACGGGCTCACAATTTCATAAAACCCTGGCCCTACGGGCTCACAATTTAGAGGAACCCGGCCCTACGGGCTCGTAATTAGAAAAACCCTCGCCCTACGGGCTCGGGTCTTTCCTTTGGATTCTCAAAATCTTGAAGCTTCAATATCTTGAAGCTTCAATATCTTGAAAATTGGAGATATGAGTGCCTTTTTCCATAGAATCCGGCTCCAAATCTCGGAATAACTTATAGTGTATGGAGTTCGGGGCATCCTCAAGGACCAGTAAGACACAAAATCTCAACAACAAAAAAATTTGAAATTTCATCGTTTCAGTAGTAAGGTACCTACCTTATGATTTAGATTTTGGAAAACTTTGAAAGGATATAATTTTTTTCTGTTGTAGATAAAAAGCTGAAATTTCCAATGATTCTTATTCCAGTAGAGGACTACAATCCCTGAAAATTTCAGCTCATTTGGACCTATGGTTCCCGAAATAAAATTGTGTTAAGCAATTTGAGGTGATTTATCAATTTTTCAATTTTTCTGAGTGCCCTTTCTCATAGAATCCGGGTCCTAATCTCGGAATAATTTAGTGTATGGAGTTCGGAGGATCCCGAAGGACCAGTAGGACATAAAATCTCAACAAAAAAAATTCGGAAATTTCATTGTTTCAGTAGTAAGCAGTGTTGTCACTACATTTTATAATCCTCAAGCAAACAAACAAAAATACAAGTATGAACTGGACTCAGTGAGTAGGTAGTACAGAGTACAGTAGTTATTTAAAATAGATTCCAAATTTCAATATATGAGACAAGGGCCACAAAACAAAGCGAAAATGAACTATAAACAGTGTAGCTTTGTTCCAACAAAGCCGTACAATGTACCGTCACGATTCTGCGCAAAACCTTAAATTTGTGTGCGTAGTACTGACTGGTTTTGAAACCTTTCATGGGATGGTTTTCTGGCGTGTTGGAACAGACCTATTATAGTATGAGCTAAAAGAAACTAAAGGAAAGCAAAAGTGTTTAAATTACATTTAGAGTTTTGGAGGTTAGGTTAACGCTGCCCGCGATGCGGTGACATGCAAGTGTCTGAAATCTGGCAACATCGTCTACCGGCTGCGGCGAGAAAATATAATTTATTTACGACTAATGTATAATGAGCGTATTATATTTGTGATTTTGGCAGTATAATGACATATGTTATTCCTCCAGGGATTAATGACGAGTAGCGGGATTAATGGTCATTATTCCACAAAAGTGTCAGTGTCAAACGTGTAGTGCTTGTGGATTTGTATTGAAAATTATGAGACGGATGAAATTTGTTCATTGAAAATCTCAAATAAATTAATTTGTCGTAAATAAAGTAGAGTATACTACTCGCAATAATGGCTATTATTCCCTCGGAATGTTACTCCCTCGCCGCTACCGCGGCTCAGTTCGTAATAATCCTCGGGAATAATAGCTATCATTATTGACTCGTGGTATAATCTACTATTATTTACGCTAGATAATAGATAATTTTCGCTGTGCGCCAAAGTATAATTCATCAATCACCATATGCAATCGTCCAATTACGTTATTCAACACTTGTTTTCAAATTACCCTATTTTACTCACTCAAAATTTCTTACCCACTTCAAAATTGGAATATCCGAAATTCGGGTAAAATACCCGCGAATGGCACCACTGAGTAGTGATAATTTGACAGTTTTGCGCTCTCCGTCCTCCAGAGGAGATTTATCAGTAAGCTATATCAGACCTGATTCTAGATTTGTATAGCTGTATAAAGTTTTAGACAGGTCTATATACAGCTATACAGGTCCAAAGACATGTTTGTCTAAAACTGTATACAGACCTAACTTGTCTAAAGCTCTATCAGACCTGTACAGCTGTATACAGACCTGTCCAAAACTGTATACAGCTATGCAGGTTTGATACAGCTTACTGATAAATCTCCTCCGGAGGACGGAGGGCGCAAAACTGTCAAACTATCACTACTCCAATGGAATATGGAAATTTGGAACTTATCAACCAATCAAATCAAGTAAAACGCCATTTTGACACTCTCCATTGACATTTGCCTAGTGAATACTAATAGCAAAATGTCGGATTTATCATAGCAACATTTCCAGAGGGTTGTTACATATGCAGTTAGATGGCGTTTTAAGGAGAAAAAGTATTTCATTGAGTTATTATTCCCTGCTCTTGGAACTGAATCAAAGGCCGGGAATAATCAAAAATTGATTCTGACCAATGGAATATGGAAATTTGGAACTTATCAACCAATCAAATCAAGTAAAACGCCATTTTGACACTCTTCATTGACATTTGCCTAGTGAATACTAAGAGCAAAATGGTGGATTTATCATAGCAACATAATAATGTTCGAATAATAATCAAAAATTGATTCTGACCAATGGAATATTGAAATTTGGAACTTATCAACAAATCAAATCAAGTAAAACGCAATTTTGACACTCTATTGACATTTGCCTAGTGAATACTAATAGCATAATGTCGGATTTATTATAGCCACATTTTCAAAAGGTTGTTGCAGTTAGATGGCGTTTTAAGAAAAAATAGTATTTCATATAGAGTTATAATTCCCGGCTCTTGGAACTGAATCAAAAGCCGGGAATAATCAAAAATTGATTCTGACCAATGGAATATGAAAATTTGGAACTCATCAACTAATCAAATCTAGTAAAACGCCGTTTTGAGACTCTACATAGACATTTGCCTAGTGAATACTAATAGCAAAATATCGGATTTATCATAGCAACATTTCCAAAAGGTTGTTACGTATACAGTTAGATGGCGTTTTAAGGAGAAAAATATTTTATTGAGTTATTATTCCCGGCTCTTGGAACTGAATCAAAGGCCGGTAATCATCAAAAATTGAATCTGACCAATGGAATATGAAAATTTGGAACTCATTAACTAATCAAATCAAGTAAAACGCCATTTTGACACTCTTCATTGACATTTGCCTAGTGAATACTAAGAGCAAAATGGTGGATTTATCATAGCAACATTTTCAAAAGGTTGTTACATATACAGTTAGATGGCGTTTTAAGGAGAAAAAGTATTCCATTGAGTTATTATTCCCGGTTCTTGGAACTGAATCAAAAGCCGAGAATAATCAAAAATTGATTCTGACCAATGGAATATGAGTTTGGCAAAGACAAGTTTATGAAGAAACCAATATGTTTGACAAAGATGAGTATCTCTATCAAAATTAATATACTTTTTGGATTGAAATGTTCATTTTATGGATTATTGGAAGTCAGAAACTACCAAAAAACTAAATAAAAAATCCAGAGCCGAATTTAAGTTGATGATGGAGGCCCAAAGACGAAACGTCGTTTTTCAAATTTGATAATGCCATAATAGTATCTCTTATAATTATCGAGATCCTCTTATACTTACTCGCGAGTTTGTAACACCCTATAGAAAATGTATAATGTACATTCAGAACACGTTTTAAGCATGTTTAAACCTTAATTATCGGCTTTTGATTCAATATCCATGAAATATACTACAGGGTGATTCATTGGCCAACAGATACAAAAAAATGTATTCTATTAAAAGTGTTCAAATTGAACCTCCGAGTACTATTAATGCTGGACATGTGGAATCTGAAATGCATATTCAGAGTACATTCTATGGATATCAAAAAACCACCACCACCCTGTACATGTACTATTCATGTTGGACAGATAGAATCCAAAAAGCATATTTATAATACGTTCTATGGACATCCAAATTGATAAACTACAAAGTCAAATTTTGGAAACTTGATAAATTCAACAAATATTACCTTTTCCTAAAGGTGTATGAAGTCCATTCGGAGGCATCATAGGACTCGCACGTTGTCTCAAATATTCCAAACCATAAGACGAATATACGGAATCAATCCAGCCTGGATTAAAAAGGAACGGATTGAAAGCTCCAGGAAGTCCGAGACCATAACCAAATTGAAAATCTGAAAAATTTAAATAATTGACATACGGTGTGTGTGTGTGTGGGTCGGGTGTAAACCATGTTAACGAGTTGTATGTTTAATAAACAGCCAGAACAATACAATAAAAGTCTATAGAATAAACACCGAGTCGTATAAACAAATAAAAATTTTAATGGTTTGTCGGCGTATAAATTTCAAACATTTTGTTTATTTTTAACGCATATGTTTCAATAAAAACTTACTTGACTTTGTTCTTGGTTCTCTTGGTCCATCCACCGTAACTTTGATAGCCTTCATATAGGTAGCTATTTGATAAAAGGGAGCACAACTAATCGTAATAGTCAAAGAAAACGATTTTCCTCTACCACTTCTACCAACGAATCTCAAATCGTTGAATTTCGCAACTTGATTTTTCATTATCGCAGTACAATTTCGCAATTCTGCACAATAGTTTTCGTCATTGCCAGCTTTTAGAGTGACCATGGTACCATCTGGAATGTCATCTAAGGCTACCACTTTGAAGGCTATCGGCAAACTTTTGTTCGACCTCCAATGGTTCGGTAAGGCACTACAAAGTACTGCTGGACTACCAGTACGCACTAATTCACCATGGTATTCTTGTAAAGTATCCAAGTAGTGATTGTAAATGTCCGTCATTGTTGTATTATTGTTGTTGTTTACTGTAGGCAAATGCATTTATAATAATAATAATAAAACTAAACACACATTAAACACTATTTCGAAGTTGTTATCCTGTCGCGCGGTGTCGGCAAACTAAACCAAAAACTTCTTTGCAAAGAGTCTGTCACTTCGAATTCTCACACTTGGACTGACTAACCGAGAGCCGAACTTTTTCTCTTGAATATTAGAGCGCCCCTTCTCTCCCTACCGACTCATAAAGGAGGGTAGTTTTTAAATACTACAGTGTGATTTGTCCTCTTACAATAGACGGACAGAGAGAGACGGACACAGTCTTTGGAACTTTTATAAAAGCGGACGCGCGACAGAGACGGATTCCGCTTTGGACTGTTCGAAATTGAGCGAGATAGAGCGCGCGTGGTTTTATTGACGATATATAAGAGAAAAATAGGCGTTGGGTAGTGAATGAAAGTGAGATGTGTGCATGTTTTAAATTTGGACGGAGATCAAAAGCACCGAGGTCGCGTTTGTTGAAGTGAGATGTACTCTTTGGTGGAGAGTTAAATATGTACTCTACAGAGACGGAATTTACTCGAATTGTTCGATTTTTTTTTTCCTATCGAAGTGTGATCAACAATAGAGTGATATAGAAGAGTGTTGACGGATTTCTTTAGAGCTATAGTTAGAATGGGATTTATTCAATGAAAATTGAGACACCATATTATACAAATACATTTCATTAAAATGAAATATTCTTTTTCGTGTAATTTCAAATGAAATTGTTACTAAAGGAGAGGCCTTCTTTCCTTTTCATCTGATTTATTTTAAGGTTAGGATTTTTTTAAATTTTACATCCAATAATAATTCTTGGTCCGTCTCTGTATCGAAGAGTAAACCGAATTTTAAAAAGCGACAGAAAAACGTGCGCCTCTCAACCTAGGTCAGACAGAGAGGATAGCGAGCGTCAGCAATCCGAATATAAAAACGCGTGAGTTGGAAAAAGAGGAGACGAACGAATTGCTGGCGAAATTAGTGAGAGAGACGGCAGTACAGCCAATCCGACGTGGTTTTTGAGGCCTCGACGGCGGTTAGTCCCACCCCCGACGCCGAGCCACCCCCTATTTCCACCACCAAGCTTTCAGCTGTTTTCCGCGTTGGAGTTTTAGAGCGCTCTAAGACGTTGAAGGGGTGAGAAATGCGTTGCTCGGGTTTTTTTCGTTGAAAGACGAAAATTTCGAGAAACAAGTTTTAGAGCCTCCAAAGTAAATGATTCCAATTCTCTAGAAGCTTCGAAATCTTCAAAGTTTCTAGTCCAATTGTTATCTTCAAAATTCTTTAATCTTTTAAATTATAAAACACGTCTTCAAGGGCTTTAGTCTCGTTGTCTATCTTCTCTCGTGAGTTTTAGACGCATAGATAAAGTTAATTTTGTGTCCGGAGATCAAGAAAATGTAAAAATTTTATTCTTGTATATGTAATATTACCGTTATAATACCCAGTGTTCTTAAAATGGTGTGAATATTTACCTACTTTTTATCTTATTATTAAAGGGTTCAGAACGCCACTGAAATAATCAAGTCTATTCAAAATACATGAAAATAGTTTCGATAAAAGCGAAGGTTTTGTTTTTGTGATATATCTGTCTCTACTAGAAAAAACCAAAATTCGAAAAAAGTCAACTCCCAATTTTGGGGAATCCCCAGTAGAAATTTTCTTCTGGAATTTTTTCTAGTCTTAGGAGGCCTTGGACGTAAAATTGCCAGGAGACCTTTTCGGTTTATTTTTGCATTTTCTACCGTATAAGATTCATTTTTTTCCAAATATCGAAAAAAAAAAATAGTTTTCAATTTTGGGAATCCCCAGTAAAAATCTTCTTCTGGAATTTTTTCTAGCCTTAGGAGGCCTAGGACGTAAAATTGCCAAGAGACCATTTCGGTTTCTTTTCGCATTTTCTACCGGATAAGATTTATTTTTTTCCAAAGTTCGCAAAAAATTAATTTTCAATTTTGGGGAATCCCCAGTAAAAATTTTTTTGGAATTTTTTCTAACCTTAGGAGGCCTTGGACGAAAAATTGCCAGGAGACCTTTTCGGTTTCTTTTCCCATTCTCTACCGGATAAGATTAATTTTTTTTCCAAAATTCTAAAGAAAGTCAATTTTCAATTTAGATGAATCCCCAGTAAAAAATTTCTTCTGGAATTTTTTCTAGCCTTAGGAGGCCTTGGACGAGAAATGGCTACAAGATCTTTTCGGTTTCTTTTCGCATTCTCTACCGGATAAGACTTATTTTTTCCCAAAATTCGAAAAAAAAATATTTTCAATTTTGGGGAATCCCCAGTGAAAATTTTGTTGTGAAATCTTTTCTAGCCTTAGGAGGCCTTGGACGAAAATTTGCCAAGAGACCTTTTCGGTTTTTTTTGCATTCTCTACCGGAAGAGATTTATTTTTTTCTAAAATTAGAAAAAAATTAATTTTCAATTTTGGGGAATCCCTATAGCAAAAATTTTCTTCTGGAATTTTTTCTAGCCCTAGGAGGCCTTGGACTAGAAATTGCCAAGAGATCATTTCGGTTTCTTTTCGCATTCTTTACCGGATTAAATTTATTTTGTCCCAAAATTCTGGAAAAAATAATTTCCAATTTCGGGAAATCCCCAGTAAAAATTCTCTTCTGGAATTTTTTCTAGCCTTAGGAGGCCTTGGACGAAAAATTGCCAAGAGTCCTTTTCGGTTTCTTTTCGCATTCGCAAAATTTGAAAACGGTTAATTTTCAATTTTGGGGAATCCCTAGTAAAAAAAAAATCCGGAATTTTTTCTAGCTTTAGGAGGCTTTGAACGTGAACTTTTCGTCTTCTTAACACGTTGATGACAGAAGGTCTATACTTAGGTACGTTCCTTATTATTTCGTTAATTTTAAGTATTTACCTCCCAAAAAAGTGAATTTCTTAAAAATAAAAATAAAAAAAATCTCCAAAACCGTGGAGAATGGTAGGTATAGAGGTAAATGATGTTTAATCGGTAGCAAATGGGCTCTACTTTCACCTCCTCAAAGGAATACGTCCACTTACCAGTCACCCTATATAAATGTCTAATTTTCATCGATGTTATGTGGCACAACGTCTATAGATGACACTTTAAAAATAACAAGTTGTGACATAACGACGGTAGATGTCGGCTCTCATATATAAATACTATACGAACAAATTTATACTGTCACAGAGAAATATAGATTACTGTCACCGCATTTTGAAATTTGGCAGTTTAGAAGCAGGAGGGGTGGTGACACGACGTCAGTAGACGTCCGGCTGTTATTAGTCAGAGATTGTTGTATTTTTGTTGTGTCACAACGTGTTTAACAAACTGGTGAATTGAATAAGATGTATACGGATATTTGCATATAAAAAGTAAATAGTTAGGTACTGGAGATTCAAAAAACCTCAAACTAGAATAAGCATTGAGGTTATGTATGTACAATAAATATTTGGCACGCGTTTCGGGAATTGTCTGTGACGTCTATAAACGTTATGATACATTACATCTACAAATACATATGTAATATGACACGACGTCCATAGTCGTCGTCCAAATGCTTACAACTTTTTGTTAAGAAACTGCATTATTGCATAAACTATATGCGCTGAAAGAAATTCAGCAGTTTTCCTATTCTACTTTGCAAAATACATAGTGTCACAACACTTGCTTATGAACAATACACGCACTGTCCATCAAGGTGTTAATTGATGAGCATGTTTTTTGATTCTTTTTTATCTTCAGTGAGTCTGCTTCAAAAGTTTAGTTTCCAATTTCTAGGATTTAATTCAGTCACTTTTGTGTCTTCAAAATCTTTAGCCTTCAGAAAGTTCAGTCTCCAGTCTTCAGTGGTCAGAAGAGTCTTTAGATTCTGCAAAATAATAAAAATATTCCAATTTTTGGTCTTCAATTCAGTTCTGAGCCTTCTGGAAGTCGGAAATAGGATTTTCGTGTATATGGTTCAAATTTTTACTTTACGATGAATAATTTTTTAATGTCAATACAAGTTCAAATAAACCATCAGTTTAAGCTGAAGATCTGCACCTAAAGCGTTATCTACAATGCGCCGCCAAGTAGCAGGTGCATTAGTCAATCCGAAAAGCATCCTTTGGAATTGGAATAATTCCTGTTCCAGACACAGTGAAGGCAAGATTCCTTACCAAGTGGAACTTGCCAAAAAGCTGACTTTATGTCAATACTACTGAGATAATAATTCTTAACATAAATCGCATAGATTGAATGTGTCGCTCCTATCATAGTTTTTTGGAGATTTCTCTACGCCACTGGAAAACTTTCAAGTTTCGAAGTTCATTATCGCTCGACACACACACACACACACACAAAAGGGCCTCAGTTTTTACCTAATTTATTCACATACCATTAATTTGTCATTACAAAACGTTTTATTTTCTAGTTAAACAAGGGTTTGTGAACAATCATTAAATCCAATGTAGTAGAGAAAATGATGATAAACTATCATAGCAAAATTTTATGAAATTTTTAGGAACAGTAAGAAACACCAGCTCTATTTTTGTATAAGGAATATTTAGGTGAAATAAAGTGCACATTAATAAGTAGGTATACATTCTAAAAATGTTTGATTTAACAGAATAGCTTTTTTTCTGTCAAATGTGCTTCCCCCAGAATGCAAATTCAAAAATCGATTAGATCCACTGTTGCCCATAGTGAATGACGACCTTTTCCTGATGGCCTCCCCAATGTCCGACCGCGAGAAAAGGACGACGTGTAACAATTCTCAATTAGAGTAATTAAAAAGGGTCAGCTACATCCCGCTGGTCGTTCGAAAATGAATGTAAATGAATGCAAACTAAAGGGTAGAGTTAGTAGTATGTATAAGGAAGCATCGGATAGCTATATAGCGAGGGATGTTGAATCAATGAGTCAATGGCGCGACAAGAAAATCTGAAGGGAATTTTAAAAATTTGTTCATCCAACAAGTATATTAAACTCACTTGTTGAACGCAGTTTTGAAGTTTCATATTTTCTAATGATGATGAAGATGTACAAATCTCCCCTGACATATTCACTCAAACATCTAGAAATAATTATTGACTGAATATCAAAAGTTGAATTGGATGAGATGTAGGAAAGTGGCAATATGTTAAGCTTCTTCTACCGATCGCATCAATTCATATTCCCCTAGGTGTCAGGGCTACCACTTCAGCCGCTTTCATTAAAACAC